TTTGCATAACGGTGGCTTGAAAATTGCTTAGCTTGGACTAGGCTTTGTCTTAGGCTTAGCTTAGGCTTAGCTTAGCTTAGCTTAGGCGTGGCTGAGGCTTAGCTTAGGCTTAGCTTAGGCTAGGCTTAGGCTCAGCTTAGGCTTAGCTGAAGCTTGTCCAAGCTTTTTTGCAGATCGTTACCCTTTTTGCACTCCCTGCTAGGTCTTACTGTTCTATTTTCAGTTGCACTCGGCGTTTGCTCCGTTTTGCACCCTATTTTCGGCTCAGCCACCGTAGCCCAAACCGTGCCTCGGTTTTGGGGTGGTGGCGTGGGAACGTGGGTGTTTTGGCAGACAATCCTCGGGGCTCGTGTACGGGGGGCAGAAATTCACCTTCGGTCGGAAAACACGCGCGTCAAGGATTTCGAGATACACCTAGAGACAGACAAAACTGATATCGTCATCTCAATTCAAGCAAAGATGGTCTGGCGAGATGGAGAAAACATTGGCCGGTGAAAGACCGGGGGATTGAGGGGTCTAAAGGGGCTGGTCAGGCTGTTGTGGGATTCTGAAAGCTAAGACACCGAATGCGGGCTCAAGGTGCCTCTAAAAATACTAGCCCGTGTAGTCCTAAGCCGAAGCCTTCTCATATCCCTAAGTCTAAGCCCAAACCGAAGCTTAACCTTAACCCTAACCCTAAGTCTAAGCCCAAGCATACGCCTAAGCCTAAGCCTAAGCCTAAGTCTAAACCTAAGCCGATGCCGGCACCCAAATCACTCTTGTTTTGATCAACCGATCATTTGAGATCCGTCCATTCCAAGCTACCGTACTCCCCACCCCCGCCCGACTCTCCAAAACATGGCCATAACTTGTTTTTGTGATGCGTTTGAGACAAACTGCGGTTGCTGAACGGAGAGTGAGAGAGTGAGAGTGACAGAGAGTGAGCGATAGGCTGGAAGATGGATACCCCGCATCAATTGAATGCCATCAATATTTATGCACGCAAACAGCCCGGCACCATCAATTGTTTCAGCGTGGAATGGACGAGGCGAAGCAAAAAGTGTTGAGAGAAATTTTGCGCGGCAGTCTGGCACTACAATCGGGTCCGAAATACCTGTGAAACCGGTGATCGTCTTTCTGGGAGCCGATTTTGAAGGGACTGGCAAGGCACGGATATGGATTTTGTTAGGTATTGCCAGGTAGAGTTTGTCCCCGAGTAAACGCAATACGCAAACGTTTTTACATAGCGTCATTCATTGCGTGGTTCGATCAGGTTCTCAGCACCTTTAAAGGGACGATAAAGTCGGGGATTCATGACTTTCGCCAAATTTTATCAAAAAAGCCAGGTTTTTACAAAATTTTGGTTACTGTTAGGGTTTTAGGCTTAGAATTCGGCTTCGCTTAGCCATCCGCCGCCATTTCTCCCTACGTGCCATTCCTAAAAAACCCTCCACTTCCGGCTACCATTCGGTACTCTTTATTAGTGTTTTTCGGTGCTATTTTACTTCCACCCAGCCTGGGAATCGGATGTAAAAATAGGTAAGCAGCCCGAGATTCCGATCAACTCCAAATTGACATCACCGCCCCGGCTGGCCTACGATCTTTTGTTGTTGTTCTGAAGACGGCCCAGGGTGGGTGTCTTTTTGTGCAGGTGCGGGAATGTGGAAGGGCATGCTTGACTTTGAACACCCACCTACTCGATTCTTGAATGCAAATCCCTGGAAAAAAGACAAAAACAATCCAAAACTACAGCAGAAATGACTTGGAAATATTTTTGGCTACGTTTGTCCGTGGAGCTGCAAAGAGTACAGATATGTACAAAGGTGCTTGCTATTTTTTCGGTTTGCAGAAAAACGCGAGGCATATGTTATATTTTTTCGAAATTATACACTAAAATTTTGCTTAAAAACCAAAAATCGCCTTAATGCCAATTAATTCCAGTAAAAACACCACCTAAGCCCTAAGCCTACGTGTAAGGCTAGCCTAAGCTTAAGCCAAGCCTCAACCATGCCTATGATTAAGCCTAAGCTTCAGCCTACGCCTTACTTTAGACACGCCTAAGCGAAGCCGAAGCCTAACCGTAAGTCTCAGCCTAAGTCAGGCCTAAGACCAAGCCCAAGCTTTTTTGTTAAGCCTAAAAGCACGTCCCTTGAAAAGTCAGATGTTCCCTTCCACAGCCCTGTAAAAAATTCCGGATTTTCGGAACGGCTGTTGCCTCGCGAACGGGACGATCGGAACGGCCACCCGGGATCCATCAAGATATACAACATCCACCACCCACCCAGCTGGCATCCAGGAAATCGCTGGATGAAAACTCGTTTTTCGCGTTGCGGGACCACCCCAAAAAAACGAATAACGTGACACGGACAATATGTTGTAAAATTGGGCGGTGATCTGGGGATTGAGATCTGGGATCATGCATCGAAAATAGAAAAAAACTCCGAAAATCAAGCTTTTAAAAATGTGTAAATAGTCAAAATTAGTTAGGAACCTTTAACAAATTACCTTTTATTCTGTTTTTTTCGCAAAAAAATGCAAGTAAACCTAAGCCAGACCTAGTCCTGGCCCGAAATTAAGCGCCAAGCCTAAGCCTAAGCCTAGGCTAACCTAAGCCGAAAGCTATGCCTACCCAAACATAAGCATAAGCTTCAGTTTAAGCCCAAGCCCAAGCTTAAGCCTAGGTCTACGCCTAAGCTCAAGCCCAAAACAAGCCCAAGCCTAAGCCTAAACCAAGCTTACGGGATAGGGACGCCCAAAAAAAACGTCCAAAAAACTGAGGGCGGTTACTGTAGCGCACGGTAGCCGGCGGCCACTAGCCAACGGCCGAAAAGTGCGTGGAGAGGTCGTGTCCCTCTTTATATCGTGGGAGTGGCTGGGATACCGTAGTTCTTATCTACCCCCCCCCCCACCTCCCGCTTTTTGGCTGGCTTTTTCCGCTTTCCACACCCCGAAAGGGACACCTTTTAGCAAGATCGGCTGCGGGCAGACCGTGAGAACATCCTTCACCCCATCGCCCGGCTACACGGGAAAAGCCCGCCAAAAAACCAGCAAGCGCAACATGGGTAGGGTTACGGTAATAGAGGGCAGGTAGGCTTAGGATTGGCTTGGGTATACGCTTTCGCTTAGGCTTAGGCTAGACTGCCCACGTTACTTGCCAGCGACTAAGCCTAAGCCCAAGCCCGCGCCAAGCCTAAGCCTCTACCTAAGCCTGAGTCCATGTCTTAACCTAAGCCCACGCCCAAACCAAGCCTAAGTAAGTCCAAGCCTAAGCCTAAGCCGAGTGCTAATCCTAATCCTAAGCCTAAGCGTAGGCATAATCCTAATCCCAACCTAAGCCCAACCCTAAGCCCAAGCCTAAGCCTAAACCTAAGCTTAAGCCTAAGCGTAAGCGTAAGCCTAAGCCTAAGCCTAGGCCTAAGCCTAAGCCTGAGCTTGAGCCTAAGCCTAAACCTCAGCCTAAGCCTGAGCCTTAGCGTAAGTCCAAGCTTGAAGGCACTGGATTCTCATTATTCTTCCGTGAACTCCGTTCCCTTCAAGTTGTTTACCCGGCCTACTTCCCTACCCTATCAGCTCAGCCGTTCACACTTGCAACAGATCACATTGTCTCTTAATTGCTTTTTATTTCCTCCTTCTGCCCCTTTCCGTTCCGTCTCGTTCCTATCCACGGCCATCCGTCATGAAAAACCACGGGTTCTCCCGGCGGATTTGGCTGATAATCGGCGCGTTTTTCGGGCAGGGGAACGGCAATTAATAAAAGCAATATTTTGACAAATTTCATTTTTTAAATCGATGAAAATCAAGCTCAGTTATTGTCAAACTGTCCCCTAAAATTAGCGATTCCTAGCGCTTTTTAGGTAGTTTTCGTGATTTTTTGCCAAGAGCCTAAAAGTTCCGCTACACTCCGCTGAACTCCCGAGTACGACCGTACTCTTGTGGAACCATGCGATCGGCTCGGCGGCTAACCAGCCTGACCAAGCGACCCGGATGGTCTTCTCGATAATTTTGGGGGGTCGTAGATTCCGAGACTTTTCACCTGACGAATCTGCTGTAGATTTTAGCTTTCAGAAGAAGTCAGAAAAGAGTGAGAGACAGAGAGAGAGCGAGAGAGAGAAAGAGAGAGAGAGAGAGAGAGAGAGAGAGAGAGAGAGAGTGAAAGAGAGAGAGAGCGAGAGAGAGACAAAGAGAGAGAGAGAGAGAGAGAGAGAGAGAGAGAGAGAGAGCGAGAGAGAATGAATGAGAGCTAGCAAGAGAGTGAGAGAGATATGGTCATTATCGCCAGATTAGCGGCTTTTTAGCCCCTTGAAGTGCCAGGCAAAGTGCTCGTCCTTCACCGGGGGGCCGCCGTGCTGTCGAACGGGGTGTTCCCGTGTTCTGTCGAAAATTCAGCAGATCCTATCTCCCGTCCCCGGCTCGTTTTTGCCCCTTTTCTCGGTTAGCCACCCCGGAAAAAGGGGGTGAAAAAGCGGGGAAAGAACGCCAAAAAAATCGGCTCTAACAAGCAAAAAAAAACTCGGAGAGAAAGACGTGTCAATATCTCAAAGGGGTCAAAAGTAGGACGGCCACACTTTAGGGGATGGCTAATTGGCTTTGTCCTCTTGGATCGAAGCCGCTAAGCTGCTAGCTGGAAGTGGGGGATACGGTAGATGGGGCACGAGATTAAGCGGATATCGGGGCCGATGAAGAGATTTTGGGTTTGAAATTGGGGTGAAATTCAGGTGGCGGGAGGGTACTGTAGGGGCGAGGGCAGCGGGGGTACTGTATCCTCTGCGATAACGACCAAATTGGACTGCCTATGGGCTAGAAACCTCAGTGCCGGAATAGATTTCCAAAAAGCAAAACCTTCGCAGCTACCGGAATCGAACCCGGACCCTTCGCGCGACAACCGAGAGCTTAACCAATTGGCCACGACGCGGTGGCGCGCAAAAAGCGTACTTTACGAAAGCCGCAAGAAATTGCAGCTCTTACAAGTTTAAAACGCAATTTACCATTTTTAACAAGTTCCCAGCACAATATTTATCTCAAGTATCACCATAAATATTCGGGTTCCGCTCCAGGTGGCCCCGGAAGCAGTCACGAATATCGTTAAAATTTTGCAAGCAAAACAGATAGTTCATATAATCCGCCGGGACGCCGTAGGTCGTGTTGCAAAATGCCATGCAGCCCGGGACGACGCTTCTGAAAAATTGGTGGGGAAATGGGTTTAAAGCCTCATAAATGTTATACTTTAAAAGTTATGTTGCCACGTTAATAATAATAAAGTAATACTAGTTTTCTAGCAAATTAGTATATTTTTAACGTGCTTAAAACCCTCACCTCCTCTTGCAACATTCCGTATGATCCACGCGGCTCGACGCGCAGTCCCACATCGACGCCACGGTCTCGCCGCGGGGGGAGCAAGTGTTTAGGTAGTGAAGCACCTGAATTACGTTTAAGCGAAATTAGACCGATTTAGCGCACTTTATAATCTACGGCAGCCAAAAAACTCACATTTTGCTGGCTGATCCCGTTAAAGTCGCAGAACTTCCGTTTGCACTCCTTGTCCGCCTTTTTCTGCCGCGCGCAACAAGCCTAAACTTTTTGTCCTATGCTTTATCTAAAACCTCGTTTAATTTTGCCAATTTCCCCCATCTTTTCCCCGCAATTTCCGGTTTTCAATTAGCGTTGAAAGCGTTGAAACATGTGGGGGGGTCCCAATAGCATTCCGATCCCATATCTCGCGTTCCACGCGCAGTTTTTCTCCGTTCCGAATAGTCAGCCCCGAACGCTAACCCGGGCGCGGGAGCACGAGCGCGAGAAAAAAATGGGTCACGATCGGGCATGTGGACTGGTAAAGGGCTATTGCTATGCCGGGAAAAATGCCGATTAGTAGGAAAAATCGGGACCGAGTTTTAAATGGAGCTTTTGCATTATCGGGGGGGGGGGGCAATTTTTGGCTGATGTATTTTAATATTTTGATACGTATTTTAATAGTTTGTGTTCTGATTTAGCTAGATTTCAAGTGGAAAGTTACGTGGGAAATGTAGAAAATGGTTTTTCTTCCGCTGAAAAATCTATATTTTCTGTATTTTTATTTAAAGATTGTAAAGTTTTTACGTTTAGGCGTAACAAAAACAGTTTATAAACACCTCCTCGATTCATATGAAAAAAATTCAAATTTTGACGCTTATAGCTACTTTTAAAATAAAAATACCTTAAATCGTTGATTCCCGTCCCGAAACGCCTGACAAAAAGCCAAGAAGCCGACTAGGGCTAGTAATACTAAAATCCGGGGAAACATGAGTACACCAAAGTGGTTTGGCCAGCAAGATTTGGGGCTTATAACCAGCCGCCAGCCCACAAATAAGCCCACCGGGCACGAAGCGCCGCGCTTTGTCCGCGGGGGCCGATGTTTACCACTTCGTTGCCAACTTTACAGCCCGCCGACGGAATACGGCCGGTTTTGGCTTCAGTACTGTAAGAAGCATTATACAGAAATGGTACTGGATGGCCGAGATTGAAACCTAAAAAGAAGCAAAAACCAATGCCATCAAGTGCAAGAAGTTTATCGCAAAAATAAATGGATTCGCCAACGCTTGTTTTATATTTCTTCTTCTTCCTCGTCGTCTGCCGTCTCTTTGATTTTTCCTTAAAATATAAAATTCAATTTGTAATTAAAAATCTATACCCAAAAGTTGCGCGTGTTTTTCGTAATTTTCTTGATGCGGCTTCAGAAACCCCAGCAATCGCTCTTGGGACATTCGGCGATCGGTGAGCTTCATAAAGGCTTCTTTCTCGCCCGGTCGCAACAATCTGACGGCCACCTGAATTTGCAAGTCTAATCATAAATAGATTTCCGCACTTCAATCGGCCAATCGTCAATGTCCCTTGTCGACAGTCGAATTCGCTCTATCAGCTCGGGCTCCTTGTTCGGCTTTTTCCGTCTGTTCAGCACCTAAAAGAATTTTGAGAATATGAAGCTTGAAAATACCCCGCAAACCACCTCGTCATCAGTCTTTACAACAACTCGCGTCTCGCCGGCGTACATCGCCTAAAACTTAGCGTGTAATATAGAGAAGGCTCGAGAAGAGGCTTGAAAAAACAACTATAAATTTACTAAGAGTATCGCATAGTAGACGACGGTCAGCTTGTATTGATAGTATTTCGCCGTGGAGTGATCACTTATGGGTGCCAAGATTTTGTCCTGTCGGCCCACGAAGCCGAGTATCATATTATTTCTGTCGATGAGCCCGACGATCGTCTTTGTGAGGCCTTGTCTAAAATACTCTTTATTTAAATAAAATATAATGTATAAATATTTTAAACAATTAAAAAACACTAAAATCTGAAAATATGGTTTTTGCTATGGCTAAACTTTAGACCGCAAGTCGATCTTCTCAAAAATACATTGTCTCACAAACGTACATCAATAGAGGTCGCTTTTTCCGCAGATATTTCAGGTCCTTTTGGCTCGGCACGTCTTCAGCGAGCATCCGGTCTAACGCCTGCCAATCCAGCGTTGGCGCCGAGGTCGACGCGACGGGATTGGACGAGCTGTGTCGATAACACGCATCTAGAGACGAGAATTCCCAAAACACCGCCTGTTCTTACTTCTAACAACAAGTCTTTGTAACAACGTGCACGGGCTTGACCGCATTTCCTGAAAAAAATTTATTTATCAATCGCCGTATATGTTTTCATAGAGATCAAGTTGAAGTGAATAGCATAGATTATTGAATGCGATGGTATTACAAATTCAAAACGAGACGATAACAACAATATCCTCACATTCGTTCATATGGTTACAAAGTCTATAAAATGGTGGTGGTAATCAATACGTCGATAGCTTGTCGTTGCGGTCTCTCTTCACGGCCGTCGTCTCGCAAGCGGCCGCCTTCCAGTCGAGCATCTTCAGATCGGCCGTCACCGAGATCAATTGCGCCCGTTTTTCATCGTATTCCCGTATTTTGTCCTCCAGCTCTTCGGAGATCTCTGGCGAGCCTGGAGCGGCCATCCGGCTGATAAAGTCGTCGGCGTCGAGTTGAATGCCCGGGCTCTTATTTTCGATGCGGTTCCGGATTTCGAGCAGCTTCTGGAGGATCAGCTGAAAAGGGCAGATTAAATCGAATTTTCCTAATATAGGAAGACAAAGTTTTAGCCAAAAATAGGGAAAATAGAAAAACATATATTTTTACGACGAGATTTTAGACAGTTTCTATGTATTCGATCTAGATTTTTAATCTGAAAATTCATTTCAATTTCATCAAAAACAGATACTATTATTTCACACTAGACGCTTCTGAACTAATAGGAAAAAAAAATTCGTTCCCCAACGATTTCGCGGAAGCACCGAAAGCCGACTTGGAAGTGCTCATAAAATCGGTTTTTAAAACATACCTGACAATAATCCAAATGGACTTCGATCTCCAGCACGAATTGTTGCTGAAAGTTGCGGGCCTTCTCGGAAAAGTCGCGAGCCCGTGTGCAAAGATGGGCACTGCGCATGCTCAGATCCTGGACGAGCTCGCGGCCTATCGTGCATAACATAGGCACCGGAAATTCGGCCAGGTTGTCGAGCAGTTCAGCCGGGTAGGGCGGTGGGTTGAGTTTTGGTCGTTGGAGCGGTTGCTCCGGTTGGACGGGAGCTGGCATCTGGGGCGCCGGCACGGCTGGGCCTTGGTAGGTCACTTGGGACCCTTGAGGATGATGTGGGTGTTGGATGATAGGTTGAGTTGGATGGTGAGGTTGCTGTTGCGCTGGTGGCTGATGCGGATGCTGCGGCTGCTGAAATTCGGGGGTAAATTTGATTTTAATTAAGAAATTAATTGCTAGAGTATTCTACAGGATGTCCCAGGAAAAATACGTCTCCTAGCCGCTGTCTGATTTCAGGATTTAGGTATGAAAGGAACGTTCTTGGAAAGCGAGAAAACCAGCACTTTTTTTCTGCATAAACTTTGTAATTCTGGTTTAAGGTCGAAAACGGCATACGACATCAGCACGTTAGTTGCCTTTGTGAGTTGAAAAACGCGCGTTTTTACGAAAAGGTTGAATATCAAGAAAATGGCTTGTTTTCACGCCTTTCAAGAGCAAAATGATTCCGATCAGCGCTTGCTCTGTAATGCCAGAAGGCGGTACTTTTTTGCGACGTCCCCTATAAAAATCAAATCCGAACCTGTTGCTGCATCTGTTGCTGCTGTTGCTGGTAGTAAGCCGGGTGTTGCTGCGGCTGCTGGGGTTGCTGTGACTGTTGTGGCGCCATTTGAGGGGGAACTTGTTGCGGGTGTTGCGGCATCGGCCCGGGGCCCGGCTGTTGATACTGGCCTCCCGAATAGGCGCCACCGGCGTGTCGCGATTGGTTCATCATGTGGTGCTGCTGCTGTTGTTGAAGCGACATCCCTTGTGGCGGCATCACGGGCTGGCTGGGTGGCATCCCGGATTGGTAGCCCTGCATTTGAGGTTGGCCACCCATCTGGGACATTTGCTGCATATTTCCTGACATCTGTGGCGGGTACATTCCGGAGCCCATTTGCGGTTTTCCTCCCATGCTCTGAAAATGATGAGTGTATTTCTAAAATATAGTTTAAAATTGAAAATTTGCTAAAAAAATCTGGAATCACGTAAGCGTTAGGAATTTTGTGAAGCTTTTACGTTTAGGAATCGTAAAGAACAGCCTACAAAGATCCTCTATTTTAGCAAAAAATTGATAGCAAGGAAAAAATTCGGATCTCGCGGAAATAACTTAGAAAACCGACCTGATAATACTGCTGTTGCTGCTGGTGATGTTGCTGTTGTTGTGGGTGTTGCTGGTGTTGTTGAGGCGGCTGTCCTTGCTGCTGCGGCCCACCTGGGCCACCATAGGCACCCCAGTTTTCGCTGGGATTTTGCGGGTACCCTCTTTGTTGTGGCAGTTGGCCCGGAGCACCGTGACCAGGGGGTATTCCGCTCATCTCCTGAAAGCACAGGTTATTGTGAAAAGTTTCACATATCCGATTTACACAAATGCGCCTCATAAAGCACGAATCACAAAAGAAATCAAGGGCTTTCAGACCCTATAAAAGCTGAAGATCAGATCGGCTTAAAAATTTTATCGACACGAATTGACGAGCTAACAGTACCCGGAATTCAAAAATGCACCTAACAAATTCATTCGATCAACGATACGAATTGACGAGCTAACAGTACCCGTAATTCAAAATGCAGTGCATTACATGCGCATAACAATTATTACAACACCAACAAGGTCAACAAAAATATCAATATCCGCCGTAACCGCCTGAATATGATGACCTCGCCGCGGCGTCTGTGGCAAGCCGGTCCGCTTGCTCGTTTCCATGAATTCCGCTATGGCCAGGCACATACTCGAATTTCACCTAAGCAAGATGTTTCGGTAAAACACGAGCTCACATCAAGCGCCTCCATTTTCTGGTCAAGCTCCATCAGTAGATCCTGGTTTTTCACCGGGGCGCCGGTAGCGGCCCTCCAGCCTGAAAAAAAAAACATAAGGGGGTACCAAACTAGGCGGACCGTTCTGCTTCCACTTGTCCTTCCACTCGTTCTGGGACCGAACCATCAAGTCGGAGTCCGTCTTGATGCGCAGCCTTTCAATGCCTTGTGCTCGTGCCTGAGTTTCTGATTTTAGCTTGTGATGTCGGCAGTACCTGGCCAACAGCATTGATAGCGCCCAACAGCTCGGCACGGTTGTTCGTCTGCTCACCGTGAACAGGGCCGCTCGAGTTGCTTGGGTGGCCCTCTCCCCAGAAGACGCCCCAGCCAGCCTTAACAGATAAAGGGTTGATAACCGAAGATCCAAAGCCCACTTTTGCGCTGCTTTGGCCATTCGAAGAACAGGCGCCATCGGTGTGGACCTCGACGTATTCGTCGTCATCGTCACCCTGCTGCTGATGCAGCTGCTCGTAATCCTCTGGCTCATCAGATTCGCCATCATATTCCCAGTTGTCGTCGCCCAGGCTATACTCGCTCTGATCGAAACTAAAAAACTCGATCCAGTCGTCCAACAGGCCTACCTATCGACTTCCTGCAGGTAATCCTCGGGCTCATCAGATTCTCCGTCATATTCGTCGTTGTCGCTCGGATCATTCTGAGCCTGGTCAGAACTAAAAGAAATTGGTCCAATGGTCCGGTACCCCTACCCAACGTCCTGCTGCTGTTGCAATTGAACGTAATCATCGGGCTCATCAGAGTCGTCGACCGATTCCTGGTTACCGCTGGGAATATTCTCAATTTGGTAGTAACTAAAAAATGATCCAAAGTGTTGGTTATCACTACCGATCATCCTGCACGTATCCTTCCGTGGCGCCCTCGCTCTCGAAGACCCATGGGTGGTAGTCCTGCTAAAAATGAAATTTCCGGCATGTAGCCAATCCATCTAGAAAGTCGAAAAATCTTTAGAATCGAAAGATCGAATCATTTATGAGCCTAGAAAAATAACCTGAAAAGACCGCTCTTTAGAGTCATCTTGCCAAAGATCGAAGTCATCAAAAGAATCATTCCGATCCTGGTAATCCTCAAGCCCATCTGAGCCGCCGCTAACTGATTGCCAATCGCCGAAGGAATCGATGTGAAACCAATCGCTCATTTTCTGAAAGAAGAATGATAACCCCGGCGTCCCATCTCCTGTCTCCTCTACATATCAAAAAAATCGAAATGACATTCCAGGATTGCAGGTCCTATAAAAGTCTTGCGATCCCTCGTAAATAAAACTCTGTAAACTAGAGATTCGCCAGATCGGAACCCCGTATTCATGAAAAAACGGCATCTTACGCAAAACTAGAAATCTACGGCTCCAAAACCCTATGAAAAAATAACTGGTCAAATCCGTTAAAAATTTTATCAACACGAATTGACGAGCTAACAGTACCCGTAATTCAAAAAGCAGTGCTTTACATGCGTATAACAATAATTACAACATCAAGAAGGCCAACAAAAATATTAATATTCGCCGTATCCGCCATATCCACCTGAATACGATGACCTGGCCGCGGCGTCTGTGGCAAGCCGGTCCGCTTGCTCGTTTCCATGAATTCCGCTATGGCCAGGCACGTACTCGAATTTCACCTAAACACCGATTTCCGGGCGCCAGCATCTAAACTCACATCCATCCCCTGCATCTTCCGGTCCAGCTCTTTGTGCAGGTCCTGGTTTTTGACAGGCGTGCCTGCAGAGGTCATCCAGCCTAACGACAAACATTAAAAGGATCCACAATGAGCGAACCGTTCTCCTTCCACTTGCCCTTCCACTCGTTTTGCGACTTGATCATCAAGTCAGAGTCCGTGTTGATACGCAGCCTTTCGATTCCTCGGTCCTGGGCCTAAATTGGCGCTTATGAAATTTGAGGCCTGAGCAAATTCAATACCTGGTCAACAGCTTCGATGGCAGCGCGGAGCTCGGCACGGTTGTTCGTCTGCGCACCGTGGACAGGGCCGTTTGAATTATCCGGGTGGTTATCTCCCCAGTAGACGCCCCAGCCGGCCTGAAAAAATCATCATTTATAATCCTTACTTATTAGAGCTACAAAAACAATACCTATTATTTAGCGATTCTTTTTTTACATTCCATATATTAAAGCATACCCTTGCGCCGCTCTGGCCATTCGAAGCACAGGCTCCATCGGTGTAGACGTCGGTATATCCGCTACGATTTTGGCGGTAACTAAAACCAATCATCCAGGCGTTCAGCAAGCCTTACCTATTATCCTGCGCGTATCCGGACCTTTCAGAGTATCCGGAGCTGCTTTGCTGGCTGCCGCCACGCTGAAAATGAGATGTTTTAAACATGGAGCAGGTTATTTTCCGGTAAAAAACAAGATCCTATTTCTTCAGAAGCTCGCCAAAACCAACCTGGTAATTTTGCTGGTAGTCGTCTCGATCACATCTCTCCGCGTAGCCACTACGTCCCCAGTTATCGCCAGGGTCGTTCCGGTACCAACGGCTCATGTCCTGGAAGCAGGAATGAATGGCGTCGCCCCAGCCACTTAGCGGCCAAAAGCCCCTCCTCTTCCACATCCATTAACAATCGGAAATTCATTGCGGAGCTGAAAATCCGATAAAAGCCTCGAGATGGCAGACGAAGCAAAAAGCTTTATCGACAGGAATTCACCAGATCACAAGACCCGCCATCGCAAAAAAAAACAACAAAGATCTATTCTAAGAAAATTTGCCTATTCTGGAGGTATCATGCATTTGCCGCGGCATTCACTGCCAGTCTGTCGGCCATCTCATTGCCGTGAATTCCGCAGTGAGCGGCCACCTTGACGAATTTCACCTAAAATTCAAGCTTTATAAGAAATATTCCTATGAACTCACATCAACAGCCTGCATCTTCTCGTCCAGCTCCACGAGCAGATCCTTATTTTTCACCGAGGTATTTGCGCCCGTTTTCCACCCTAAAAGAATAAAAGCTCCACGCAAGTTGACAAACCATTCCGCTTCCACTTGCGCATCCAGTCATTCATCGAGTTGATCATCAGCTGGGAGTCGGTCTTGATACACAGCTTTTTCACGCCTCTTTCTATTGCCTAGATCTGGGATAAAAAAGCTTAGAAATATGAATACCGTGTCAACAGCTCGAATAGCCGCGATCAGCTCGCCACGATTATTCGTCTGCTCGCCGTGTACGGGGCCGTTGGAGTTGTTCGGGTGGTCATCAGCCCAGTAAACGCCCCAGCCGGCCTGAAAATATGTTAGAAGATTTTACGAGAAATTGTACCTTCGCTCCCAATCGGCCATTCGAAGAACAGGCGCCGTCGGTGTAGGCCACGACATAACCTTCAGCGTTTCGGTAGTAACTAAAAAATATTCAACCAAAAATCTTGAGAACTCTACCCATCATCTCCAAGGGATTCTTCTTCAGTTACTCTTCTTGTTGGAAGTGGGATGAGCTGCGTTCGGCCGGTGCTAAAAGATGATTTTAATTTGGTAAGTTAAAGTGAATGTAAAAAAAAATTAAAAGCTTTTCACAAGCTCACCTTTTCTTAGCCGCTGCCGATGTAGATGCTGTAGCTATCGCCGCATGACTGGTAACGGTTCGGCCCGCCTTCGCCTTGAACGGCACTTTGATCGCTAAACACATGCACGTTCAAACTCGCTGCATTAGAAGCCGCAGCCCATCGCGCAGCATTTCCGCCAACCCTCCAAAATCCCCACTTTCATTGCCTCGGACGAACGCGTTGGCCTCGTGTTCGGTGTCGAATTTTTTATACCTGCAAGAAAATATTAAATTTTTCGTTTAGCATACCGTGCGTTGGCGTATCCATTGACTTGTGCTTGACACAGCGGCCAAGTAGGGTATACACCTAAATTTCGAAATGTACAATTCGGAAGGAATTTCACGAATTTGTAATTTGTAATCCAAAAAATCTATACCTGGCTTATGTCCTCTAGCCACGGCATAAAATGCCCTCCTGGGCGCCATAAAACCTCTAAAAAATTCGCGTAATTTCTCTGTGAACGTTCGCTCCTTCAGTATTTTGTGCAAGCCAACACTTCTCGCATCGCCATTGAATTGAAAAGCAAAATGAAAATTTATCAAAAGCCCTGAGAACAATGAGAAACATGAAACAAACAGAAATTCAATTGCGCTTCCGCTTCTTCTCCACGGCCTCTTCTTCGACATCACCACCTGCGCGCTTCTTCGTTTCTTCTAAAGCAAAAATATATGGCTTTTGGGATAGCGCTACCAATCTGCTTCAGGGTCTTGCCCGCGGCGAAGAGCTCGGCGTCGTCCTTGTTGTCGAATTTCTTGAACTTGGCGCCCTTGAATCCCTCGGTCTGCTCCTTGCATTCGGCCCAAGTGGAGAAGCTAAAAAGGTAAACTCAAATTTAATCAAAACTCCTTACACGCCAGTTTTATGGCCTCTAGCCACCGCATAGTAGGCTTCTTCCGCCGGCTTCTTAGTTTCCTTCTCCTTTTTCGGTTGTTTTTCCTCCTTGGAGCCTAGGAGAAAAATCAGGGGTCTTCTCAAAATGCCATACCAGAGTCTTTGCCCTTTGCATACTTCAGGTAGTAGTGATGGGCCTCTTCAAAGTTTGAAAATTTCTTGTGGAGTGGCTGTGGGTAGTCGGCGATCTATATTGGATGCTCCATTATGAGTTGAAAGTGTTAGGAAAATAATCTCGAGAATCTAATGCGTAAAAAATACCGATTTCTTCACGGCAGCGTAATCAGTCAGGACGCCGACGACCTTCCCTCGAGCAACCGCGTACCAAGCATCGGCATCCTCTTTCGAGTCAGCGACTGAAAGAAAAGGAGATTTTTGAAGCTTGAAATTATACTTACTTTCTGTAGACTTTGCTGCGCGCTCCGCCAAGTACTTCTCAGCCTCCTTCTTATCCTCGAATTTCTTGTAGACGGGCTGCGGGAAGTCGTCGATCTGAAATAAAGTTTTAGGACTTTCAGCCGTATTCACCTGCTTCTTCGCCTCGTTCCAGTCCTCGAAGAGCCCACTCTTGAAGCCATGGGCGACAGCGTAAAACTTTGCCATGCTACAACTTGCAAGTTCATCATTTCACAAGTCTTTTATTCCAAAAAAAAAAACACGTAGAAATCCTTCAGAAGAAGAACCAAAGTGAATCCAATGACAAAAAGCGTTATGTACACACCAGTCGGTATTGAAAACGGGTGGGCCGAGCGATTGGACAATTTGGAGGTTGTGCAGGGAGAGGGGAATACGTGGAAAGGCAGCGCGAGGGCGAGCTATGCGCAGGTCAGAGAACTATGCAGTTTTCGGCTTTTATATTGGCCCGCTAACAGGGGTGCGCTTACAGAAGGTAGGTTTAAAGGAACATAGTCATTAATCTAGCTAAAGCCGCGATTACAAAAGAATACCTTCATTGGATTGTCTTCAGTCCCTTTAAACCATTATTATGAGATCTAAATGATTAATAGAATCAAATCCAAAAGCTACAGTTTTTTACTACAATACGTTTCCAAAGGCAACCAGGAATTTCGAGTAAACAACTTTTTGGGAGGCTTTGGGGCGAGGCGGGTGGGCGAAAAAACGCGGTGACTTGCCAGCTGGGGGGTCGAGGGGAGGCGATCACAAAAAGGCAGCCGCGTTGACCGGGAAACAGAGAAAGGGAGCAAAAAGAAGAAGAGGAATTTTACGTAGAAAAGGCATGAGTTTAGTCCTTGAGCTCGGCGAGTCGTTCCCGCATCCTCTCCATGTCGGCATCGGCCGCGTATTCGCGCTCGAGGCCGCCCTGTTCGGCTTGCGGGGCCCGGCCTAGCTCCCCGGCTGTCACTTCCCAGAGGATGTTGTCAACCTCAGCCTGAAATGGTCAAATAAAGATAAGATTGTGGTGCTGGGGGTCAGGGAGTTGTTTTACTCAAAACTGTGGAAATGCGAAAAAACTCCTTCTTCGCAAAATCGAAAATTTTTATTTTATTTGGACTTGTATTGAAAAAATATGCACCGTTTTTACGTTTAAATGTAGTAAAACGTGTAGAAAAATTGCTTCTCTTGATAGCAGAAAAAATAGGAACCTAAGGAAGTAATTTTGTAGCCCCCTAGAGATACCAAAGAATGAACTTCTACAACTACTAAAATAGCAGCGCTTTACAAACCTGTGCCTTCTCCTCCATATCCGGCTCGTCCATCATGTCCATCGTGTCCTCGATCATCTCCTCGATGATTCCGAGCTTCATCATTTCCTCGCTCATCTCTCGCATAGTTTTCATGATCTCGGGCACCTGGAAAAACATTGTGTAACCGGTTCGGGGGTGCAAGATAAGTACAGCCTCTTTGGCCTCTTTCCCCCTCATATCAGCTGCGTTGTGAAAGAACAGACGGCGTTTTATTTGGGGGTAGGAATATTCCTTTTCCTGAGCGTTGCTCACGTCTATCTGCTCAAAATCGCATCGAAATTGTGGAAAATCGTTTGTGGAAATTTTCTACCAAAGGTAGATGGTTTTAAAAATACCGAAAATTCTGGAAGTAGGGAACATCTTTAGAGAAAAATAACCCAACGCTTGCTTTAATGACACGGAACAACCGCGAATCTGAGGAACTACTTTGAAAAAGTAGCCAAAAAAATAAAAAACGAAGGTTAATAAAAATACCAGGAATTCAGGGTAAAGTAAGCATTTCAGAAAGATAAAAAGAATCTATAACGATCTATAACTCACTTTAATGGCCAGGAACAAAGCTGCTTCCAGCATTTCGAATTTAGCGAACTCTTTTCTTTTCAATCAAGAAAAAGTAAAAGAGCAACAATAGAGTAGAAAACTCGGATTACGGTAGAATAGAATAGAAGCTGGTAGAATCGCGCGTTGCTACCAACCGTCTCGAGTAAAGAATGGAACAGGGGGTTGTCCAGATACCACAGCAGGGGATCTCACGCCTTTTTGCCAAAGTCAGTAAGCCCGCTGACGGACATGTGAAGGGGCGGATGGGGTGATGTTGAACAGGTAGGCAGGCGAAGAGAGCGGGCGAGACTGGGAGGAGACAAGATAAAGGGCCTGCCTCAACATGTTGCCATTGCCTTTTCCCCGGGAATGACCCCCGTGCCCCATAGAACCCGAGTGAACAGAAAACAGCAAAAAGCTCAAACGCGAGTCGGGTTCATTGTATCGGGTCCACCCACGCCAGATTTCCGGAAAATCGTTCGGTAAAATTGGGCATAATGTTCCTACCTAATTTTGCTTTCTGTCCAAAATTCTTTACCCTATACCTTGGGCAAGTAAAATTAAGGCCCTGGTTTGTTAGCGAACTTTTCCAATCTTCCCGTGGCGTTTGTGAGCGAACTTTTCTACGTAATATGCGATATTTTCACAGAATTTTAACGTCTGCGTTCAAAAATGCGTGGAAAATGGTAGGAAACGTCAATGTTTTTCATGACTTAGGAGGTTAGATAAATAAAATAAGTTAGCTTGCTAGAATTCACGCTGTCACGTGAGCTTTGAAGTTAAAAAAATCGCAGTGGTACAAGCTGAGAAGAAGAGGAAGAAGATAAAATTCCGAACCGATCAAAAAGGTCCATTCTGTCAAGAAGAAAAAAAAAGAGAAAAGATCGGCAGCGGATAATCAAGAAAGCGCGTTTCGCAGAATATTCAAATTCATTTCAGACCCAGGTGAGATCAAAAGCTTCTTCAAAACCCAACCTTGACCAAATTCTGCATGCTCTTCATCACCGAGGTACTCTTCTGTAACGCACCGGCCATCCGCATTGTCGCCAGTTGCTCCTAGACGAAAAAGTAAGAAATAATAACTCACAAACAAACCTGCATACACATAATCACGCTGTTGATCTCGGCCTTTGATTTGTGGATTTTTGCCACCGCCTAAAATCAAACATCTTTCAGAGACTTATTTCATAAAGCTACCTTTCTCGATTGTATCATTGATTTGGCCAGAATAACGCACACGTCTTTGTCTCCCTTCTTTGCCGCGGCTTTGATTTCGTTTTTCACCTGAATGCGTAATAGGGAAAAGGGATCGACTTACTTTTAGCTCTTCTCGTTGGATGCCGTGCACTTGCCGATCTAGGGTTCTCATTTCTTGGCGCATTTTTCGCTAAAACTCTTTGTAAATATTTAAAAAATATTTACCTGTAGTTCCCTGACTTGCTCTTTCGGATCCTTCTTCTTCCCGAACAAACCCATCATGCTAAAATTCGGAAATGGCTTTTATTTTTCAGGCAGTGGATTATAATTTTTGGCGAAAAGTAAAGTGGGAAACGCGTTTCGCAGCCGATGAATCATAACTTTTATCGTTGTTGATCAAAAGCTCGCTGAACAAATTTTTGGAGGCAAAGCTCCAGCGCTATCGCCGTGTGCATTGACGCTCAGCGTAGCTCCTTCCGTCGAATTACCGGGTATAACGAAAATGAAATAACTTTTTCGAAACAAAAAACTTTTTTCGACTCAGTAATTATTTTCTTTCAGAATAACCTTCGCAAAAATGCCGTCAACCACCGAGACAAAGAAGGACGAGCCGAAAAAGCTGAAGCCCTGCTGCGCGTGCCCGGAAACGAAACGAGTCCGCGACGAGTGTATCATCCAAAACGGCGAAGAACAATGCGGAAAACTGATTGAAGCGCATAAACAATGCATGCGGGATGCCGGCTTCAACGTTTAGCTGCTCGGCATCATTCGACCGCGACGATTGCCCCCCTCACGCAGATAGGATATGAAATTCGTGCATTTAGTACCTTTTCCTTTTATTGCCTCGATTTGTTGATGTACAGCTTTAGATTTTTGCTTTAATGGGAGAGCCTAGAGATCTTTTTTCTACCCAATATATCTTCTTGCTCCTTTCAATAGTTAGACTCGCGCCGCCAGTTTAGTTCTATCATTTTTGCTATTACTTGTTTTCTGTTTTTCTTGTCGTTCTGGTTAAACCGCTACAATTCGATAAATTATTTTCAGGGTATGACGGACGGAGCCAGCGCGTCCAACCCAGCGGTTGGAGACGAGAAGCCGGCTCAAGATGATAAGATGGTCAAGGTTAGGAAGAAGATGAAGCCGGAAATATTTTTTGATTAGGATTTGCTGCAGCGGGCCGCTGCCCTGATCCGGGCTTCGAACGGGTTGCCTCGATTGGGAGACAACTACGAGATCTGCGTCTCGTATGGCTCGTTTGGAGAGCTAATGAGCGTTTCGCGGACTCGACTCCAAGTGCTGTGAGGGAAATATAGCATGAGAAATGCCAAATTTTAGTCTACAAAAAGTCTACGCAGCTGCCGGTGTGAAGGTGCGCTTCCAGCCACGTGATGCTCAACAGATCGGCATTTTGGTCGACAAGATTGTAGCGGGAAATGATATTGTGACGGAAAGGACGGTAGGGATATTTTTATAAAAATTCCATAAGTTTGATAAAACTAATGAGAGAACCGGGAATTTTAGGGAATCCTTCTTGATGAAATCGCAAAAGCCAACAGGCGCGATGCCGTCAAGGTGCCGAAGGCCATTTCGCAGGCTGTTAGCACAATGCGGAGCGTGGAAACGGCACCTGTGATTCGAGACGTACCGCTGCAGCTCGAGGTGTGTTGTTTTTCTCTTATTTTCTAGATTAACACTTTTTAAGAAGATCATTTTTATTTTTTTAGAGACCATTACATCCGGGAGCCGGACTCAGCGCGGCCGAGATTGCAAGGAGACGGACGTTGGCTCGACACAACGACATGCTCAGCAAAGTGGTAAGTAAAAGCTTCTGGTTTCACAGAAAACACCCCAGACTAAAAAGTTTAATAATTCCATTTCCAGCAGACCCATATCAAGAAACCGCAGAAGGAATTCGGTTTTGGCCGCTTCATCGACAATTCGTCCGACATCTTCAAACCGAAGCTCGTGGTAAAGCACAACGCGGTCGAGCGACCAGTGGGCGTCACGATAATTGATGATGAGCCCGCCGGGCCGTCGCAAAAGTGAATTTTCCACAACTTTCCTTTATGCTTTTTAGCGAATGGATTTCCGACGAATCTGATATTGGAAATCCCTACAAAACTGAATTGGAGCGCTTTGTCGTCCCGGCGAAGCAGATGGAATCCCAGGAAATCTTGGCGTACAAGCCACTGGCCGAGACGCCTCTTGTTTTGGTTGATGACTTCGAAAAGCTGGAGGCGTTGAGGGATACACTGAATTCCGTCTCGATCTTTGCCGTTGACATTGAGGTGTGCACAGTTTTTCGTTTTTTTAATGAACGTTTTAGCACCATGACCATCGTTCTTTCCTCGGCTTTTGCTGCTTAATCCAAATTTCGACGGTGGACACCGACTACATTGTGGATCCTTTCAAGATTTGGGAACACATGCCCATCCTCAACGAGCCATTCTCAAATCCGGCGATTTTGAAGGTAAATCGAAAACAATCACGATTTATCAACGAATTTTTCTAGGTCCTCCACGGCGCCGACAGTGACATCGTCTGGCTTCAGCGTGATTTTGGCATCTACGTCGTGAACATGTTCGACACCGGTCGTGCGATGAGACACCTCGGCATGGGCAAATATAGCTTGCTGGTTTGTAGGAGTCTTTTTTTTGTAAATTTCGAATTTAGTACCTTGTCGAGACGCTGTGTGGGGTGCAGCTGAACAAGGAGTACCAGACGACCGACTGGCGCGTTCGGTTAGTCCATGATTATTCGCTTTAAAAAAAAACCTTTTACAGGCCACTTCCGGAAGAAATGATCCATTACGCTCGTGAGGATACGCATTATTTGCTCTTCTGCTATGGCACACTGCGCGAGAGATTGATACAAGGTATCGATTCTACAAATACGTGGCTTAAGCAAATGCTTAAATTATCGATATAAACATTTTTTTGCAGCGGGTAACCCCACAACGCATAACCTCCTTGCCACTGTCTATTCCGAGTCAACAGCGCTTTGTGGAAAGGTTGTTTTTATATAATTTTGAAAAATAAAAAAAATTAGATCTACGAAAAGCCGATATTCGACCCTAATGGCTTCACCCGAGGCACACTTTCTGCAAAGCGCACTCTCAATAATCGGCAGCTGTTCGCGATGCGCAGCCTGTGGCAGTGGCGCGATGAGACGGCTCGAAAGGAAGACGAGTCGCTCAACTACATCCTCCCGGCTCATATGATGTTTCATATCGCAGAGGTTTAGCTCTGTTTTTTTTTCTAAAATTGTGTTTCTAGTCGTTGCCCCGTGACATGCAGGGAATTCTCAACTGTTGCTCACCCGTTCCGCCACCAGTCAAAGAACATCTGATCACGCTTCATCGGTGAGCTGGCTAAAATTTGTTTAAAATTTTTAATTTAGCATGGTGCTGGAGGCGCGCGATCGCCCTCTAGAAGTCACCAATGAACAGGGAAGAACAAAGCGCACGGAATGCGAGACGCTGATGGCCATCCGGATGCGGCAGCAAATGAACAACAACATTGACTTTATCCGTGGACGGCTATTGTGGGTTTTAATCTAGATTACCGTTTTTTTTTCTGTGTTCAGAGCCCGGGCTCAACTATTGCGGGAATCATTCCGGGAACGCATTGCGGGAACATTGCGGGAATATTCCGGGAAACATTGCGGGAAAGTAGCCACTTTTTCCCGCAATGCCGTCTCATCTACATTCCGGGAAAGTAGTTCCCGGAATGGTTTCCCGCAATGTAGATGAAACGCGTTCTGGGAATGAGAGGCGCATTCTCGGAATGTTTCCCCGAATGGTTCCCGGAATGTCCCGGAGTGTCCCGGAATCATGATGGCGTTAAAATCCTAAATTCTAAATTAGAAATTATTCTTTCTAAAGTCAATGTCAACTTCTTGCACAACGGCGCAGTGCGCATGCATCGGAGATAAGGAAAACGTATCGAATTTTTAATGCTACTTTGGTCCTCCAAAACCGGCCTCAGAAACGATTGTTCACTACGAGATTTTGTGGGCCGGCAAATAACGAGTGTCTAGACAACTCCTGAAAATTTCAGAAAATTTGAGCAATGGGAACATCGATTCCCGGAATGCTGTCCCCGAGATTTTGTCGGGGAACCAAACCTTATATAAAACCATTCCCGGAACTACATTCCGGGAAACTCGAAAAGTTTCCCGGAATACATGAGACGACATTCCGGGAACTCATTCCGGGAACCGTTCCCGGAATGGAGTTCCGGGAATCCATGCCTGGAATTCCCGCAATAGATGAGAAGGCATTCCGGGAATAATTTGCACCACCTTTCCCGGAATACTTCCCGGAACATTGCGGGAACATTGCGGGAATGCCCTGAGGCATTCCCGGAATATTCCCGCAATAGTTGAGCCCGGGCTCAGATAATAAGAAAATATCTGAAAATTTTTAGAAAACTCCCATTCTTTTGCTGTATTTTATAGCAGAAAAATAATGCAAAAACAGTTTGTCTATTTATGTTAGAACAATCGGCAAATGTAACGATGTCAGTAATTTTTAGCACGTCTCTCCACCTCCATTTCGACGAGGTGGCCGCAAAATCAGTAACGCCGCAGCGACATTTTGATGATGTGATGCCAATCTCGGAAAAGGTTCGCCGACTCTGACTTCGATAGTTTCTTAGGACGATGCCGAGGTCTACGCGGCCATCGAAAATGCCGACTTCCCGGCCGTGACGAAGCAGCTGCTGTTGAAGAGTTATGCCGGGGAGGCGCCGATTTACGAGAGAAGTGAAAAGGTTGGGTTTAGAAAAAGAAGTGATAGAGTAATACCTGAATTATAGTATGACATCGTTCGCGAAGGACGGGAGCTTCTCGAAAAGTTTGGAAACGTTGCGTCACCATATGAGTGCTATCAATTGGCTGTAAAGGAACGGGATCAGCGATTGGTAGCTTATGAATTTATGAATTTTTTTAAAGGAATGTCGTTGTAGGAAGTTGAACGCGCCATGGCGAAAAGCCAAGCAGATGCAGCACCGAAAGAGCAGAGGTTTGTCTTGCCTATAACTTTTCAGCTTTGGTTTTTAGAGAATTTCCATTTTAATTAAATTATTGCTAATTGTTTTAGATACTCTCACCACGATCCCGCCGTCACGCGCAAGCCGGTTGAGGAGATCAACGATGCCTTGGTAGGGAATTTAAGCCGGCCTAAATTTAGATTTTTAGGCAAATAGCGAGGGACTTGTTGTCTTCAAAGAACCCCGTGATGATGATGACGATGAAGAAGAAGCTGCCCCAGACTCTTCTAATCGCCATCAGACCGTGCTCGAAGACGATATCCTCACAAAGAAGGCACTGAAGCGCAGGCACCAACAAGCTAAAAAGGCTGTCGACATTCCGTTTGGACAGCCGGCGGAGAAGATGTTGAAAAAGGTGCGGCCCGCTTACATGCTTTAACTTATAGTGAATTTCCAGGAACCCAAAGTCGAGGGGTCCGGCGACTTCACGCCGGTCGACTACAGCTCTTATGGAACCCAAATGTTTGGTACGGGAATTGGAGGTTTATGCATTTACACGGTCTCTCTAGAATCACGCCCCACCCGCGGCAAGGCGTTCGACCCATTCGCTCAACAACAGCAGCGCGGACGCGGCCGAGGGCGTGGCGGAGGACGCGGAAGGGGAGGTCGGGGACGAGGCGGTGGCGGCGGCGGGGCCCGTGGCGGCCGTGGCAACAACAAACCCCAGTGGTAGAACGGCCCGTATACGATCGCATTGTTGGTTTCGTTATTCTTGTTGTTGTTGTTGAGCTTTTTGACAATTTATGAATGGTACTTTAAATGTTGGCAACTACGCAAGGCACTAGAATCTAGTGACTAGATGTCGATAATTTCGCCGATTTTTGTTTGTGCGTGCTAAGCATTAAAATTCGTAAGTTCTTTAGTTTAGCGAAGAGCTAGGCTAAAAAGAAAACTCTGCCATCTGAAAAGTCGGTGCTGGGCTTTTAGCCGGGGGGGGGTGAGCTATCTAGCCTATCCCTACCTGAAAAAAAATTTAAAAATGGCTTAAGATTCTACAAAAATGATTTATCTCTTTGATTAGTGGAACCTGAGGCGACAGGTCAAATCCCATGTTCCCCCGCTAAGTGTCCAGTACCGAAAAATCGGTGAAATGAACGTTCACCCGGCGTTTCACGTTCACCGTGCCCCCCCTTGGAATGTGGCCCAATTGGCGCGGCCATTGTTTGAGGTCTTTGTCGCCCAGGCTTCAACACGAACCCTTCGCGCCCCACCCCGGCATTGCTACATCCGGTTTTTAGTGTAGTTCCCGACCGGGGGTGCGCGACAGTTTCTTTACAGCCAACCCATGGCCCTTTCAGGATGAGCCCCAACCGATTGCATCATTCTCACTATTTAGAGCAGCATCACCTTGGAAAGAGGGGGTTAATTTCGTGGGGTCGGCTCCTCGCCGGTCGCCTCATTGCTCATTCCATCGATGGCCCTAATTTATGCGATGCTCCGTTTTGGGGAGCGGCAAATAAGGTGTGCTTTTTGGAAAAAGGTGCTGGTTTTCGATTAGGAAATCCACAAGGTGTTTATGACCCCAAAAATCTGATGGTTCTCCGTTTTCCTTTTGTTTTCATTTTTCATATAGTTTTTTGTCGAAAAACTGCCGCTTCGCGAAAAATTTCAATATTTTAAATTTCTAAGTTTTTAACCTTTTAACCTGAACTTTTTCAGGTTTAAATTTTACTAGGTTTCGTAATTGTTTTTTACTTGAAGTATAGCTAAATTTTACGAAAACCATGAAAATACCTTCTCTGACCTCGTTTCAGACATTTCGGGATTTATAGGAAAAATTAGGTTGCTTGCCCCCCGCCCCCCCCCCTGATCTTACGAAAGTACCAATCCTAGATTTCAGGCCCCGATTTTAGATTCAGGAAAATTCAGGCCGTGCTGCTCGCTTATTCATGCCATATTCGCAAGCCCCGCATCGAGCCGCAATGACGTCAGGATGATCTTTTTGACATTTGAGGGTCTGGGACGGTCGGATTGTATGTGTGTGCATCTCCCTCCCCTCGATATGCTCACTCTCGACCCCCCCATTCGTTCAAACATGGAAAGTTCCGGGGAGCGCCGCACGGGCCGCACCGGGATTATGCTCTCATTTTTCGAACCTCACCGCAATCCCCGGGGCCGAGCGTAACACCGCTACCGGTTTACGTGTAAAGCCGCGCGCGTTTTTTGAAACCGGTTCGGCGGCGGTTATTCCGGAGATCGTTCGTGTTATAAGCCTACTTACCGGTAGTTTGGGCTTGTGTCAACACGTTGTTGGGCTTAAATGTGGGTTGGAATAACTATATATTGTTGGGTTTAGCTGTTTGTTGTTTCTGTTATAACGCGCACATTTTGTTATTGGATACCTTAGGATTTATGACGTTTTAGAACGTGCTTTTTCATTATCGGGGGAAGGTCTCAATTTTCCCAAACGTGCAATAATAGATATTTTAATAGTGTTTTCGTGAAATTTAGCTTTAGTGTCATGTGGAAACTGTTTTTAAAAGTTATAAAATGTTGACATTTTGGTCGAAAAAGCGATGCTTTTTGTATTTTTACAAAACATTTGTGAGGTTTTTAGGCCGTGATTTTAATAAACAGTATAGAATAACATCCGCTATTTATTTTATAAAAATAGGCGGACCCCCGATAACGCACAAGAACCTTGACATGAAACCCATGCAAAAAAAACGGGGCCAGACAATACCTTTTAGATTTTTAGAAACCGCCAAGATGGCCTTCAAAAGTTCACCAAGTCCTTTCACAGAACTCCGTAATCCAAAAAAGGGCAGCTTCTCCCCGGCGCGTAGGGAGAAGCCGAAAAAGGGACATCGCCGGGCTAAAAGAAGCCCGGGAGGATGCCCCTTTTTTGATTGACAGAGCGAATCCAATTTTCCGAGTGTCGGTCGTGTCGTCTCCGAATCCTGGCGGTGCCATTCTGTGTGTGTGTGGCCGTGAAGATGTTTTCGGCGCCGCCACCTTGTATTGTCAACGTTCTGCGGCTTTTGGTGTCGCGGTAGAAGGGCTATTTCGGCACTTCCCGAATTTTCTGGTTTGTTTGAAGTTGGTTCTTGGGATCTCGAGGGAATTTTTTGTTATAAATAAACATTTACGTAGTAGCGTAATAGCGTATTTCAATAGTATTTTTCTAGGTTCTTTTGCATTATCGGGGGTAGGGAATTTTTAGTATGTATCCAAAATGCATATTAATGTAACCTTAAGTCCTTTAATCGTCTTTTTAATACAAACTATCGAAATTTGTCTAAATACCTAGAAGTTTTTCAAAATTTGTCGAAAATCGGCCATTTTGGTCGAAAAATCAATATGTTTTTGTATTATTAAGCAAAATTTGTAAGGTCTTTAGGCTTAGGAATCTTAAAAATAGTTTAGAAACAATTCCTCTTTTTATATTAAAGAAATTGGAAACTATAGAAAAATTTTGTTCACGCCGGAAATGTTTCTGTTTTCTTTGTGTTTCTAGATTCGTCAGAAATGCTAGAAATATCGTAGTTTAAAGGGGGTCACGAAGTTGTGCAATATGGATGACTTGTAGCCTTGATCTGCACCCCGTGCCGGCCAAGTGCCCGATTGCGTAATCGAGGACGGTTGCGCAATCGCTTCGACGGGGCTGCAGGTAGCTAGCGCCAGCTCAGCCTAGGTTTTCGTGAAGACGTCTGCTTGGGCTTGTAGTCAGTCATCTTTTGCTTATAATTTCGCTAACGGCTTAAAGGAAACTCAGGGATCTTTAGGCGGCTCTTTCCCCTTATCGACTTCGCATATTATTTTTCCTTAGCATTCAATTTTTCAATTTTGCAAAGCTTTTCTAGACCTATTACGATTATTAAACGTAAAAGCTTTAGCATATTTCCTTAAAAAATCGAAAAAAATTTTTCGACAAAAAATCGCCGATTTGTTCAAAATTAAAAATTGAATTTTTATAAATTTTTAAAAATTTCTACGTTTACACTTGAATGTCAAACGTTGCTAAAAACACTTAAAATGCTTACGTATACATTACTAGGCGTGCTTTTATGGATATTTTTGAGCTTTTTTAATTTTTCCGCTGGAAACTCTCGTGAAAATTAGGTAAGAACTTTATTTTGTTCTCCTAATATTGTCCGTAATTTAGTAAATTAAAATATTATGTTTAAAGCGTTTATTCTAAAACCCACCACTATTTCCTCGGTTTCGACAGAGCATTTTTATAGCCGGCGAACACAATTACCGTTGCCCTTATCGTGCGCGCCAGTTTTTGTTGTTTGCTATATTTCTATAAAAGTTGTGATTTCGACTAACAATGACGGTCCACGTGTTTGGGTGTCGTTATAGCGTTACATAGCCCCGGTTGACCGGTTGAGGGGGACTGGATTTTCCGGGCGCTTTTTCAAAAACAAGGTCATCTCGGTCGCACGAGGGGCCGCTCGGTCACACCGCCATTTTACGGGGGGATCCCCCGATTTGGTTTATGGGCCATTCACCGGTCATCCGGGCCTGATTTCGGGTGGGAGCCGTCGATTCCGGTGGATGTTCGGTTCGCCAGATTTCAATTCAACGTTTTTAGCCGGAATCTTCGTTTCCACGAATTATGATTTCGCCGAATTTCCACTCGCCGAATGCCTTTTATTAATCGTGATAGTTGGGATAGTCGAATTCGAGCCAAAATCCCGACAGCGAAGATATATCGATATTTTACGTGTCGGCATTTTCGCTGTCGATATCTTGGTCCGTCAAGATTTTGGCATTCCCCATTTTCTTTTTCCTCTTATTCGACGATTCCGATGGTGGGGGTGCCCGTGCGAAAAATGGAAAATGGCTGCATTTGGCTGATTGCAGCCATTTATGCCGGTGTCCTTTTAAATTCGAGGGCGGTTTTTGCTCCATTTTTGGGTTTTTTCATTTGACGTCAGAGTTCAAACATCTCTTCTAGATTTATTGATCATTTTTGGTTGGTTGAATAGCATAGTTGTCCTAAGCCCAAAAAATCCACTTTGTAGGTTTTGTAGTAGTTTTTCTTTGCATCATCTTTCCGCGTGTCTTTCGTTCCTAAAAATTCTCTGCTAGCCTGCCTTATTTCAGCCGCTTATTTTTATAACCCATAATCTGTTTCAGTTTGGGCTAAAATCGATGGCTTCGGAATTCCTAGTGTTAATTCCGGAAATTAGCGCCGGCGCCGTTTTCTGAATTCTGGTGCAATTTGCTCCAAAAACGAGAAGCTGTGGCCGCGGCTGGGGGCTAATCTTATCATTCTTCGGGACAGTGCCGTGCTCCTTGTTCTTCCGCTTCTTTTGGCGTATCAAAAAAACAGGCAGGGTGAGCCGTTTTTGGCTTTGTTCCCCACCCCCTTGGGAATCCCCCCGGTGCTCCACACCGTGTCAACAGCTGATTGTTCCGCACGGATGGCCTTTTTTGGGGTTTGGTGCCCAAATCATAACAACTTGTTGTGTAGATGCGTATCTGGGTGTGGGATTCATTTGGGCGATTTGGAGGGCTGGCTTTTTAAAGTAAAGCTTTTTTTAACGTTTTTAACCTTGGTTTTTTCCTCCTTTTCAATTTTCCTAGGTGGACGTTTTTTTAGATGAACTTTTCAAACTTTCCGCGTTCTTTTTTGCCGGTTCTATCGTATTATCGGGGGTGGGGGGGTGATCAAGGGGAAACCAAGTTTTTCTTTGTACTAATACTTTGATAGAGATATTTTATTAAAATGTTTTTTGCGGCCCCTAAATTTAAAATTTACAAATTGTAGTACAAAACAAAAATAGTGATTCTCCTACCCAAAAATGGCCAGTGTTTGACCAAGATTTCAAAATTTTCAAAGTTTTTTGAATGGTTTTGCCTCCTGAAATATGGTTAAATTTTACTAAAAGCCTCTGAAAACACTGACTATTACGTTACTAGGCATTTCTTGATTTATCCAAAAAATCGCCCGCCCCCCGATAATGGGAAAGATCCTAATGTTTGTAGGTGTGCCTTATTATCTAGTTTACTGTCTCTTTTGATCTCTCTCGCTTGCTCTCTATCTGTCTCTCTCTCTCTCTCTCTCTCTCTCTCAGATGTCTTCTAATATTTTCTGCCTTTTCCATCAAATGTACGTTTTCTTTTTTGCTAAACGATACCACCGTAATCCGATGATTTTCCCTAAACTCCCTTGCAATTCGCCCAAATCCCCGCAGCTCAAGTAGGTTCTTGGAAGAATGAGCTGTTGCGCAAAGTTGAGTCACTTTAGGGGTTTGTGGTTGTGTTGTGGGTGTTTCCCCAAACAGAAAAATAGCCGTACATCGTTGGGTTCCCTTCCCAGGCTGACTCATCGCCTCCCCACTTTCTGCATCTGGATCGAGCATTTCAGCCACCCATTGTTACCGGCCGGGTTTTTTCAAATCCTTCCTGTTCGACCCATTCACTCGATTAGCCAATTGGGCAATTTGCTAAAGCACCGATCCGCCCCTCTCCGGATCCTATCCCAGATTCGCGTTTTTCCGGAGCCGTTTTTCTAGGCTTTTTGCTAGACGATGTACATGCATTAACGATTGGTCTTTTGATTTCGAATTCCCAAAGAAATTCTCGATTTTTTTGTAGAATTTGAGAAAAGGGCAGAATTTTTGAGGGCCTACTGGTGAAACGCTTAATTTTTGGATTTTTTCATCACAAAGCGAGCGTTATCGGGGGGCAGAAAATCACTAATTACCAAATAGTACTTTCGTAGTAATAATCCTTTTAATAGTCCGTTTAGTAACATTTAACTATATTTTAAGTGGAAAAACTATCGAAAAACATGTGAACATTTAAAAAGTCGCAATTTTGGTCGAAAAATCCATATTATTTTGATTGTATTTAATTTGCACAGGTTTTAACACCTTTTTATGTTTATTCAAATTTGAGAGATTTTCCATGCTTTTCTGATAAATTTAATGTAGCTATTCTTGGCTCCCCAAGCTCTTCAAGCGGTTCAA